TCTGAAAAACATGCATTCTTACTGTGAGCAAGGTCGGCTCTCCACAGATCTTACCTGGAACTTGGCCTGGTTGCATCACGTGCTTGTCTCTATAAACCTTTACCAGAAAAGTTACATATTGCACTTTTACATCCTTCTCTCTCACACGCACGTTTATTCTGTTGATTATATTTTTTAAACCACACCACTACACTGGCACGTGCCACTGGCAAACCATTATTCACACTTACCACTGAAGCTAGTGATGAGGTTCCATGTTCCATTGCACCGTAACCCAAAGGCAGGACAGGGGCCATACACAAAAGAGTGAAAAATACAAGCAGATGCCAGCAAGGAGCATCCTGGGTCCTATCTGACGAGGATCTCTGAGCACAAAGGGACATTCAGTGGTCTGCCAAGTGTCTGTAGAGTGCAGAACAGAGCCGGGACTGTAGCGACAGATGATGATCTTATCAGGGGGGAGGGAGGTGTGGGGGTCTGCTTTGGGAGGGGGCAGCAGGGGCTCTTCAGATACATCCTGGGGCTCCTTTTGCCAAGTGTGTGGTATTTCAGAGGAACAGTGCTGAGGGCAGAACACAGGTGCTGGGATGGGTCAGCCATTTTGAAATTCCTCTAGGTTAAATCTGATGACCTGCGCATTCCATATTCATTCTCAATCACATTTATAGTTATATAGATTTATTCGTTTCTACTGCTAATATTATATTCCTTATCTAAAGTATATTGTTGATGTTTTTGTTGCGTATACAGTCTTCACCAACATCTTTGCCTATGACAGTTTGAAAAAAACAAAAACACACACACACAGGTATATAAGACCATATAATAATTTGGTGTATATAATTTGTCTGTGTCTATCCCTTCCATTGACTCTTCTTGTTTAGTGTCAAGTATCGCTCTGTTGTATTAAGTATTAACCTAATTAGAAAAATTGTCAGTTATCCGTCTGACACCTGGACACATCTGCCTGAATATTTCTGCTGTTTGCAAACTTGTGCATGCTTACTACAGCAGACAGTGTGGAGGCAGCCTCATTATTCATGCACGGGACTTATTTTGTGTGGAGATTTTCTACTAGTGTCTGCAACAGATGTGACAAGCCATCTGCCAGCCAAGGTCCTCAGGCAACATTTGGTGTGAGCTGCGCACAACTGGCACCCAAAACATGGTGGCCACCGCGATACACAAATTCAATAGGACCCCCTTTTCTCTCCCGCTCTTGCACCTACACTAGTTACCTCATTATTTTTACCCCCAAAAATGTGTGAATGGTTTCGCCAGTGGGCTGCTTGGAACCGTGAGTCAAGCGGGGCTAAAAGGGAACTTGCATCCAGGCGAGTAAAGGCCGCGGGTCTTATCTGAGGACAAACAGAATGCATCAAGCGGTGGCTGTGGCTCGCAGTGATGACGACCAGCTGTGCTCCCATGTTTAATTATTTCTGTGTAATGAGCTTACCCACCTTCTTCTGCAGCTCCAGGAAGACAGCGCAGGGAGCACTGAGGGAGAGGAGAAAAAGAGGCACAGATAAGGCTGATTATCTTAACTTTTGGCACAAGTCCAAAACGATGAATGTTTGCACTAATAACGCTTCTCAAACTGTGGTCAAGACTGCTGGTATGAAGGATCTTAATAGTAGTAGGTTTAAGGTTTAATTTGGGTTTTCAGCCTTTGACATGATGTACTACCCTCCTAGCCTGATTCATCAGCCGGTTTCACTTTCGTGGAAACCCCCTGGCATTTAGGATTCGTTCGCTCGAAGGTAGGCGGGTACTTTTTTTAATTTAACCAATCGCTGCTATTTGGTCGTGATGTATGTAATTCGGCAAATCCTGTAGGAAGAAGGGCAATAATGTCTTTCCCCTTGATAAAATTCACCAAACATTCTCTTTGTTCCAGCTTTAAATCCTCGATCTCAGGAATCGTTGCCAACATAGAATGTATGGCTTCGCCTACATCCATCTCAACCTCTTTGTTTACTCTTGTGTTGTACCAAAAAAGGAACCCAGACAGGTGCTTGAGTTTGACGTTATGGCTTCACAGCTCTTCACTGATTGGCCTGCGCGTGGTCTACAACTTCCAGGGTTTTTGCAAACCGTCTAGTCTAGTGTATTCCAATTCCTGACCTAGTCGCTGTAGAGAAATTAAATTGAGTGGAGGCACTAGGTGGCACCAGCCTGGCTACTACCCTCCCCCATTCCTTAGTGTTTTGTTATTGTAACTGCTGCTAGCAAAATCCAAGGCTAAAAAGAGATCTTAGCATGTTTGTTTATAGTTGTGAAAACCTTGCTTCTTGAAGAGGAATTGGCTGATTTTGGTTTACTTTAGTTCTAGTTTATACTTGGTTAGGCCCTGCTTTTTGGTTGGCTGTGCTTACATCTTCATTTATGTTTTTGTCCTGGAAATGCTTTTCTTTGGGTCCATTTTACTCCGCCAAAATCGAATAATTTTCAGTGATGTATTTAAACCACCACTCCAATATTTATCAAAGAATATTTTTGCCAGTGACATTTTCACTTTGATTGTTAACGAATGTACCAGCAGAGAGGTGTTATTTGCACAAGACCCATTATGTTTATGCATGTGAGAGAGCACATGCACACACATTTCCATAGCAGCACAACGGGGCTGGACACAAAGGCGTGCCACAGATACACAGTTGATATTTGGAGCGGAGAACAGGGCAGAGGAGGTCATTATAACACAACGCATCAGAAAGTTCAGTAATCATCACAGTCCATTCAGCGCCAACCCTGTGCCCTGCGTGCCTATTAGCAACACGTGCGGACACAGGTTCAAAGAAACAATGTTAACAACCCGTGTGGAGTTTGGGCCATGACAATAATCGTTTACCAGAGGGGATTGCTCTCATTTGAGAAAAAAAAATAAAAATAGTGGAGGCAGTGGTGGAAGAAGTACTCAGTTGTTACTTAACTACAAAATTACAGATAGTGGAGAAGAAATACTCAAGGGAAAGTATCATATGAAAAAAATCTACTTAAGTAAAAGTATCTGTTAAAATGTACTTCAAAAGTAAAAAAGTATTTTGTGCAGATTTTGAGGTCTTAAGAGGCTTCAAATGTACTGATTTTGATATAGATTTGTGCTGAATTTTGTTCAACAGAGCTGTTTTTGTTTATTTTTGTTTGCTCAAACTATGAACATGTTAAAAAATGCAGGGGTGTAGAAAGTACAGGTACCTAAAAATTATATTCAAATACAGTATTTTACTACTTATACTTTGTTATGTTCCACCATTGATGGTCAGTAAGCTCTGCCGAATCCACATGATTCAACTGTATTTAACTTACTACTGGAATTACTGTACTACTACTATTACGATAATGGTAATTTCTGGCTTAGGAAATTTAGCATCACAATTAATTTTATTAATAGTTGAGCTCGGGACAGAACATAAAAAATTGAAGGTCCATAGAGATGCATTAACCAAAACTATGAGAAAAAAGTTAACAAAAGTGCCATGGAACAACACAATGAACTGTCACTATTGGTAATTACATATGTCACTCTCTAGTGCCAGGCACTTTTAATGAATGTTTAATATTTAACATAAGGGTAACTAAAAATCTATGACGTGTGAAGATACAATAAGTATTAAATGCATGAATAAATCTGTTTTCATAATGTGAACAAAGCAGTTTATTTAGGTCCGACCGTGACCTCTGACTTGGGGCCAGTCCAGTGAAGAAACAGTTACGTAAAGAGGCAGTTTTCAGACATGACTCACGGCTGAGAGAAGTCTTTTGGCAGTGGAACATTTTGTGTCCAAGCGTTGATAAAACCGGATAGCACTTGTTACACATGTCTGATTCATCAACTTCCACCAGGAGAGTTCTCACCATCGCCAAGGAAACCGCCTGTAAATTCAAATCCAACGTTGTGTTCATTTTAGATCAGCACTAGTCCTTGATTTACAAAGTACATGAAAATAATATTTGGCCTAATTAAGAAGAAATTAAAATGTTAAAAGAAAATTATTTGGTTTAAAAAGGAATCATAATAAAATAATCAAGTAGGAAGCTAAGAAATGGTAATTGTTAAGTGATTTTACAAGTCCAGGAAAGCGATAGAGTACAGATGAGAAAGCACAAATTTCCATTATAATTCTTCAAAATTGGGTAGACTCTATAAATGACAAAAACAGTTGAAATATGAAGTATGATACAGTAAATGTAAACCGTTTTGCCTAACTTAGCTCACTTATTCATATCAGCATTAATCATTATTATTTTTTTAATTATGATTTTAATCTAAGTTTATTTCAGATCCTTTTGGGGGAGAGGGGGGTTCTACGATTGAAAGGGGAGATTGGATTTAGTCTCCACTCAGACTTTTCGTTCATTTCGTTTTTATTATTCACTGAACATATTACTTTTAGTCTATAAAAAGATCTACTTTCTGTCATAGTTTTAGTCGACAAATTTTACTCATAGTTTTTGTTGTTGCAAAAACATTGATAAAATTTGACAAAAATATTTAAGTGTATAAAATGAACACTGATTCCCATGTGAAACGCTGTCATGGAGCTAATCATAACCATGCCATTAATCACCATCTACAAAAGTCTAGTAAATCTAAGTGATAAGCCTGGAGGGGGATGTAGTACTAACAGTGCTATCCACTTTCACTGTTAATGAACTGTAGCTGTAACAAGGGCTCGGCTTCCTGGAACAACCGAAATAGGCCTGCCACGAGCTGCTCCTGCCAGCCAGTGAGCCTGCACAGTCTCACCCAGATTATCTGCACACAAGACACCTTTCAAGTAAGGTTAGCGCGCCGTGTGTGTGAGGAACACCATCAGATGGGTGCTCACTTGATTTGCTTATCCATTTTGAAAGTGCGTGGCTGTAACCTCTGCTGTTTATCGCCCGGCTCAGACGCAGTGCTGTATATCTGCTCATGTACTCACTGTGATGTCGTGTGGACCTTGTTGTATGCAGGAATATGGCTGACTTCTGTTTTTTTTCTTGTGCTTTTTTAGGAGAGTTAGACGTGTTTCTGAAAGATGGAGAGCGGAGGATCCACAGCAGGCAGCAGCTTCCCGTGGGCACGACGTGGGGGCCATTCGAGGGCAAGATAGAGATGAATACGGACACCAACGCACTGGTATGTGCATCCATCTTTTACATCTATTTGTGTAACCTGTCTATGTGATGTCTGCATGTGCCCCTTGTGTTTATAGGTATGGCCCAATGATCAGTGCCATGCATGCTAATTTATCAAACAACATTGTTTCTAGTGAAAGCATGTGAAGGGCATGGGTGTTCGTTTTTTCAGTCTGTGCCTTATATGTAGTACTGACCAATGTCCAGTGTCTGTCTTTCACTATATATTTATTTTAGTGCAATCATTTCTTATTCAGCATCATTGAACGCTATACAAATTTGAATTCAACGAAATATATATTTGTACTAAAAGAGGCATTATTTTAGTACAGAAAACCTTGCATCTTGAACCCTCATTGGTCAGGATATGTTTCCCTTAGGCTCATAGTTCAAATTTTATCACCAAGGTTAAAAAAAATTGAATGAAGGTAAGTAAAATATGTGAATTTATGCATTTTTGTTACATTTTTGCTTTACTATCTCCTATGGGATCCCGCCTCTCTCAATGACCCAAATTAAACAAATAACTAAAGCAACATCTGTAGACATATTCTGAGCTCATTCACTAATTATTAAGGCTAATTATGCAACTGGGGGTATTTCTATATATAAATCATATTTCAAGACAGCCGCTCTGCCCAGTGAAAGAATCTATTACCATTGACTCCCATGTCTCTCAACACCAACTCACAAAAGCTTTTGAAGTGCATCTATTTTAACATTTTAAGCCTTATATTGTATGACAAAACCTTTTAATTGGTGGATTTGACGCTGGGTCCAAGCTATGAATGAGGTCCAGTCTTTTTCATGTCCCCTACCCTGCAGCTCTCTATCTCCTCTTTGAAACCTCCCTAGGCTGCTGTTGACCCCCTGCTCTACTGGAGTGACTAGCCCTCCGTGGATTTGATACTTTTGGATTAATTAAGAAATTCCTATTAGTATTGTAACCAGTCGAACGCTCATCCTGTTAAAAACATATGAAAAAGTCCATGAGGATTTTCAATACTAAAGCTATTCACCCGGTTCAGCCAGATCTCTCAACTTTTTATTCAATCATTCTCAACTGTTTTCTAAGCCCCTCTCATGGTTTTGAAGTCATCGGTGGCTTTAAATAACTGAACCCATATTATAGGCGTGAAATATGTCTTCTCTCAGGCTGGAGTCAGTTATCCTTGGGCGGAAAAGTGATTTGACAGAGCAACACCTCGGCTTGCCTTCCAAAGTAACGCGCCCCATATATTTCTATCTCTGTTCCTCCAATAACCTTTAGCATCCTCCCATCAAGCAGTATGGTCCAAGGCAAGATGTGTGGAGCATACAAGTAACAGTGGTAAAATAAAAAAACTATATTTTTTTCTTTACGTTGAAATGGGGTTGGGCAACTAATCAAATTTGGATTGAGATAGAGATTCTGTCATTTCTAATTGTCAGTGATCTGCTTAGGTCCACAGTGAGTTTTCTGTGAGGCATGTCATTTAGAGCATAGTTCAGATTTTGGAAAAAGAAATTTCAATATTTTTTGTATATATAGTTTCTGTTTAGGACATGAATATTGAGTTGTCATTAAAACAAACAAAAAACTGAAATTGTGATTGATCAATATGAGGAAACAAATATTTAAACAGTCAAAAAAGCCAAATAATAAAAACTAAAACGTGACTCGGAAAAAAAGATTAAAAAAGTTAATGTATTATATTATTACTATATACACTTTATAAGACCTCAAATACAGTCAAATATGCAAAAGAAGTAACAATCACAGATTTCATTTAACATTTTTGGATCCTTTAATATGATTTTTGGTACTGGTAAGCTGCTTTTGTATAGCCACAGGAGACCATAGACTGATGCAAAACAAGACTGACAGTTTGTGCCTGAAACCCCTCAGACCACATTCATATACGACCTCTAACTTCCCAAGTCCCAACTGTAATTTCAGTTTTTCCACCGATATTCTGTAATGAACTATTCCCCATCTTGATCAAAACCATCTTCATGAAAACATCTTGCTGATTTATCACTCTGAAGGTGCACAAATTTAAAAACTCTGCCCTTAAACCTATCAAACCAATCACAGAACTGCTGATGACCAGACTAAGTGCTCTCCGTGCAGTCCAAGTTTCTCTCTCTATCTCTACAATGTGTGCAGGTGTTGGCCATCACCTGTAATGGGGCTATGGAGAGGTCAGCGAGACTGCCAAACCGCCCCGCAATTAAAATACAGGAAAAGAGAGCTGCCATCATGCCTCAAAGCATCTCATGTGTGTCTTATCTCACGGGAATCCTTTTAAAATGCTTAACTGCTTTCTCTGCTCGCCTAAGTCCCATCTCACCAAAAGGGCATTAGCAGGTTTTCTCTTACTATCATTAAAGGCTAGGTCATTGCAATGGTTTTGTTTTAGTTTTTTACAATGTTTTTGACTAAAATAGAATAGCATTTTTGAACACAGGGGAATCTACATGTCTGAAGGTGCATAGTTGTATATCTTATTTCTTTGTCCAGCTCCAGTCTCATTGGGTTGCCAAACATGCAGCCGTTGGCAACATCCCTAATATGGCGTTGCATTTATCTCAGTTATTTTGGTGGGAGGCGAGGGAGTTGTGTAAATCTTAAAGCGCTGATACAGAGACGGCTAAAGGTCCAATGCAAGCCTTACCTGGAGACAGAGGAGGAGTGAAAACAGGCTAATGTAGACGTATGGGAGGGTGGGCTGAGCAGCAGAGGGAGGGTAGAACAATGGGGGATGTATTGGAGTGGAGAACAAAGTGTGGATCTACAACTCAGTCATTCAGATTAAAGCTGCATTGTGTAGAATTCTGTAGTAAAAGAATGTGTCCTTAAAATGCTTTCCGTTGTGGTCATACAAGTGTTCAAGTTGATAGACGGTCCTCATTGATGTGAAATTCCCGTTTACAATTTGCTCACAATTGCTACTTTAAAGGTGCACTGTGTAACTTTTAATGGTGGGTCATCTCTTGCTTCTCTCCAAGGAGACGTTGCCTGGAATGTTCCACAATATGGTGTTATACTGTACTTATTTATCTCTACGCAGACAAGTCTTGGCACAGGGCCAAGTTACATGTCAGATCTGTGGCGAGATGAGCCCACTCCCAGTAAGAATGCAAGTTTTTAAGTAAATAAAAACCCATGTTATTGAATAAATGCAAGATGGATATGTTTAATGCCACACTAGGACATTCCAGACAAAACAGCAGCTCCCATCAGAACATTGAACAAATAGTAAAAAAAACTGTTAATGTAATACAAAAAGTGGTGAAGGATTTGTTACTGCCTGGGCCCTATAGCATCAAGTCTTATTAAACAAGTTGATAAATACCGTTATATTAAGTGTATAACTAGGCCTGTCATAATAAAAATACTATATTGACTTATTGTTCAATATTTTTTCAGTGGTACAATACATTTTTGAGGGTCAATATTTATCGGGGGTACTTTTTTCTTGGGACTAGTCAGGACCTTTTTGTCACTTTTCCTGTTCTGTGATTAAATTTGAGCTGTTGAGGAACATTATAGACACAAACTTACATTACATGCTGCTGTTTATTTATTTATTGCTGTTTTTATTTTTATTGTATTGTATTGTACATTTTGAATATTTTTGGTAATAATTCTACTTTAAGGTTCGTGTGCCAATGCATAAATTTGATTCAGTATTATTATTTATACAAGATATTTTCTTCAGCAATATATTGCACTTTACATTTTTATCATGACAGGCCTATGTATAACTGCTTAATTTATGTAATAAATTTTTTCCCAATGTAAATATGTCAAACCATCAAACCATGTTAAATGTTCTTTTGAGAGAAGCACACACTGTTAAAAATGTTATAATTTTTTATCTCTCAGCCATCATAGAATCAGATGAACCATTGTTGAAAAAGTGTATCCACAAGAATGATGTAGGATTTTGCAAGGCATTTGTCTCTTCATTCAAACTCATAAGCTGCTGGTGAGTTACTGACATGGATACAAGTTTTATTCATTCATTTAGACTTATCAATCAACTTCGACTTAACTAAGGTCAAGCTATTTTTGTATAGACCCACAAGCTCGTAGCTGTTTCCCTGTTTTTGGCATGGAGCCCAGAAAGGACTAAGTGTAATGACCAACGCAAAGTGGCTTCTACAGTAAATAATGAGGAGAGTGGGAGAGATTTAGGGTCAGACTACCGAACATGAGCTGACCTTTGACCTGCGGGAGTATGTGGACTAATAGGCCTACTTTGTTTCCACCGACTCTTATGTCTGCACCAGTGTTCATAAATAAATACATTAAAGATGTCTATGTTCTAGTTTACCTGAAAAAAGACCATACTTTCTAGAAATACTTTTAGATGATGGTAGCCACAAATAATGCCTTAGACACTTACAGAAATGGCTGATATTAATGTCTTCTAGAAAAATGTGAAATTGTTGTTTTGAATATATAAGGAACATTACAATATTTTAGGTTTTTGTGGTTTTACTTTCTTCCACTGTCCACTCACTTTTTGTGCAATACTTGAAACTCTGTTAAGACATATACACATTTTACTTGTGTTTTGTAAATTTCTGATGCATGACACATATGTGAGACCATTCTAATTGTAATATAATGTGAGGTGAGCAAATCTGACTCTATTTTTGGTATACACTTTGGTCAAACCCTAATGGGAGGCTCCTTTTAGTGCAGTGTTAGTGGAACATTTCAGCTGGTGACCGTCAGGCCTCTGGAGCAGACTGAAGTGACGGACGATGCGGAGACTGGACAGTGAGCGAAGCATTGCACACAGCCACAGCACAGAGAGGCATTACGCTTGAAAAAGAGACGGTCAGATAGCAGCGAGAGGAAAAACAAGGAAAAAGCATGACAGGAAATCTGGGCATCTGCAGGACGGAGATAGGGTCACATCTCCACCGTTTATCAAAGAGGGAAGCAGATTTCACAGCTGATGGGGCACTGTGCAAAGGTTTGTGGACCCCAGGGGCTCAGCTTGG